TTTTGAAATGCGTTTTAATTTTAAAAGAAAAGAAGCAGGGATACAAAAATATATAAATATCGATTTAATTGAAAATTGTATTTTTTTTATTTTGCGCGATTTTTTTTAGATAGAATAAGAATATCTTGTAGCGTAAGATATAACTAACTTTGAAATGCACTTTAATTTTAAAAGAAAAGAAGCAGTAATACAAAAATGTATAAATATTGATGTAACTGAGAATAGTAATTTTTTTGCAAGATTTTTTTTAGATAGAATAAGAATATCTTGCGTATCTATCTAGCGTAAACTATTTGCGTCCGGAGTTTTTCGTGCAATTGCATATACAGCTCTCGGGAACGAAATAAATCGGAGCCTCGCGACGCGGAGATAACGTAGGTCTGCGGGGCTCGCTGGTCCGCAAAGTCTCGTCCAAAACGGGATTGGCCTCGGTTCTCACCTCGTTCCCGCGTTGAACTCCTCAGATTTCGCCGCGTATATAGATTCTGACGTCACGCGCGGCTCCCATCAGAAATACGAGTCACGGTCGCTACATCTAACTCCGCATTGTGGCAAAGTTTGTCGCGAGTCAACGAACCAATCGATAGACCGATCTAATTTAGTCGTGATCATGCTATTGTGCCGCGCGCGCGGCGTCTATTGTGTACATCCGGCCCGATCAGATCTCTTCTATATCAATCCGCTTTTCCCGGACGATTGTCGGCATGTCGGCCGGCAAATTTATATCCCGATGAGATTTCGTACGCGTATCTGAATCACGCTCGAATTAATCATTCACGGTGCTCGTTTCGATTGTAATGCAATTGGACGTATGTAGTAGTTACGTCGAAAGGTGCCACAAGTAGAAAATGCGATTTCACGAATACAGACACTTTGAAAGAAGAATAAAATCAGAGATGAAATTCCGATCAGAGATCGAAAATAATTCTTTGTCGATAGACTTTAATATCTTTATTGCGCGTTGTATACGTTATACAGCGATATTTTGTAATAGAAAACCGCAGATTGACAGGTCGTTTCCCTGGACGTACATACGAACCGTGCGTTTCTCTTTGAAATATTCGCGAGCTCGTGATATTTACCTGCAGTAATTTTTTTGCTTGTATAAGTAAAGCTTCGCTTTACGTATATTTGTACGTCTGAAAATGAGATTAATCATAAATATAGTTAGAGGGGTTTGTAAATATTTGCAAACTCAACATTTGTAGTCCGAAATTCCATTATTGACACGCGAGCAGTGAAAATAATAATTAATGTAGCAATACGTCCTAATATATATTTAGTGTGAATTGTAGTTTTAAGTGGATTCTTTGATGAATTTGGTGTCGATATTTCCATTGCAAAGAAATTGCCGCTAAAACACACTGATTGTCGATTTTTATACGTCTGTATTTAACATGTTTCCCTCCCGGGGATCAAGTTAAAACCGCTACGAAGTAGAAAGTTCGCTTCGAATTATCGGCGTGTGATTGACAAAGTTAAATGCGCGTTGCAAGCGCCTGCACGTACTCGATATAAATTTCGTTCGAGGAACAACTCGCGCTTCGCCTGAAGCATGCAGGGGTCGGGGATCGTTCGACGAAATCAGGAATCGATTGATTGGTGACTTTCCTGCGGGAGCTCCGCTTCGCGCGCGCGTTATCGGCGCGTTATCTGCATTCCGTTCGCCGTCGGCGATGCATCATTCCTAGGACGATCACGTCCCGGGCGAGCGTTTCCGCGTGTCGTATGCCGTTATACAGATACGATTGGGCGCGGGACAATCGGAAATAGCGGCGCGCGACGTGTAACGTTTGCTAACGCTATTACGCGCCCGCCCCGGTCCGTGATCGACAAGGCCGAAGGTGACGATGGCGCGTCATGCATCGCGAACGATGACGGGCCGGCGGAATTTCCCAATTTACCCTGCCGAGGGTGCTGGGCGAGAGCCAGAAGCGTGACCACGCTTTTTTCCACGAGCGTATAAGGTATATCGATACTTCTCGGATCCAATCTGCGCTGAATATATAACGCAGGAATATAATAGCGGGCTCAATCTCTTTCACGCTTGTTCGAACCCGTAAATGTATCTAATCTAATCTATTAATCTATAATTGTATAAACGCGCGTGGGATAATAATTTTCCGCCCCTGCGTACTCCGTTCTGCTCTATATAAACGATCGAATCTCACGCGGCGGCCTCGTGGATCTCGCCTCCTGTGTCCGAGGGTGCGATAACAATGTGACACGTCACGCTATCGGCCGAATATTTTTTATTTCCACATGGTGATTATCAAATTGTTTTCCGCGTTTTTCCCCGTTGCAGAAAAGTGTAATTGGGAGAGAGAAAGAGAGCCGTGTTAATTTTTTTCTCGTAACGTCAAACACGCAGTCGACCGTGAATTAAAACGTCAGGATTTCGTTGATCAATTTACGTGCTCTGCTATATGTATATATATTTTTTTTCGTTCTGAATCCAAAAAATGCTTTATTAAAGCGCCGCGGGGATGTTTGTAAAATAAAGAGAAAACGAATTTTCTTTTGAAATTATGAGAGAGAGAGAGAGAGAGAGAGAGATAAATGAATTTTTAAAGATTAAAAAAGGGAAATGGGCGCGGATCTTCTCGCAGCGAGATACCGGCCATTAATCTGTTATTTCCTTCGGATATGTCGAATTGGCCGCGTACATGCATCAGTAAAAATACGAGATCATTGTAATACCGAACTAACCGCGAGACTGACCGCGAAATTAATCGTGGCGCGAAATTAATTAACGATCTTCCGGCGTTTCATCGGATGAAGCTCGAATCACAGCCACGTGTCTGGCCTGAATTGTGCGCCCCTGACACGTAAACTTTTAATATCGCTGTCCTGTATAGCACTCTAATCTCTCAGTAAACTCCTCTCTCTCTCTCTCTCTCTCTCTCTCTCGCTCTCCCTCCCTCTCTCTCTCTCAATCTGCGTGACCTTTGCCTCTTAAACTTCAGAACACACCCGAAGTTCAGACGTTTTACCTTTCAAATATTATACCTTATAGTATAAGTGATAACGAATATACTCGATTTACATCGAACGGAAGTTTCCTGGGAAAATCCGAAGGGTCGCGTTTTTGCGAAATGCCAATTTAACGGAAATCACAAAGGATTCACAAAACTGCTGACGAAAAAAAAGAGAAAGGATACATTGTGACGTGTGTGTAATGTTGCACAAAATCATGAAACCGTGGCGGGATCGCGTAGGTGTCGTATATCAGAAGCATTTAATTGTGATGCACAGAAATTCCCTTGCAGAAATTTAATACTGGACCGGCTAAATAATTATTTTGTGAGTATTATTAAAAGCGCTGTTTGTTAGTATTAAATTTCAATATCTGCATTATTAATTTATTCTCGCCAATATTAAATTTCTGTGTATGAGAAATAACGATAAAAAACGATAATAAACGATAAAAAAAACCAGAATGTCGGTAGCATCATTAGTATCAGTATCGAGCTGTCAATAATTACATAATCTTTCGATATGTCGAAGCACACCTGCAGGATTGAACTTGCTTGATGTCAATAATATTTAATATTGCAAACATATAACGTACAATAGCCTCGTGGGAGCCGTATCGGACAGAATTGAACGAATCTATCACTCGTATTTGTTGAAAAATGTATAAAATGCATATTGGACAACGAAATCGTTTAATTCAATCGACGAAAATTGCTTAAATCTAATTAAACTTCTAACTATTATAATTCATCGTCAATCCCAATCTAATCTTGTTTTTTTTTCCACCGTGTTAGCTAGCCAATGTGTAAAACGTTAACCAAAATACAATAATTCTGTTCGTAAGAAGACAGATAGTACAAATATTATTTGGTAAAAATTACAAAATTAACGTGTGTAGGCTCAGATAATTTAAAATCAAACAATATGTCAAAGACAAACGAGCCGAGCTAGGTGTTCGTACCAAATAAAATTTAATGATAAACATTTAAAAGTAATATAAACATAAAAAATTTCAAACTCGATTTCAATCTTCAATATCATATATATCATCGATGGTTATAGAACAGAAATCGAATACAAAATTTGAATGGAAATTTAGTAGATTTGCGCACCTATTCACATATTTTAGCTCGATGTCAAAAATAAAAAAAAACTCGATGAATGTATAACATTCGCTGTACCTCTGTTGTTCGCATATATTATATATCGTTGTGACAATAATAAACCACGGTACATATTTACAGAATCGATCGAGTCTCAAGAATAGAATTCTTGATTTTGGCTGATATTGAACATCAGAAAATCAAGGACAAGGATGTGTATCTTACTTGTGCAATTACGGAATTGAAAAAAAAAATAGCACTTTTCGGAGTTTATCTATGGCTGCGTTCTATTTAACGCTCGCGACGCGCGCGAGCATTAACTTGTTCTTAACATTTGATTATAAACAACAGGAATGAAATGATTTCAAGAGCGTTGCGAGCGTTAAATGGAACGCACCCTGTATAAGCCGTTTAAAAAAATCGGCTGCTTCTCGCGCGATTAAAGATCCACACACAGAAACGAATTTCTCATATATGCATATGTCATCATATATACATACGTATAGCTGCACATATAGCGTCGAAAAAAACTCGCCAATCAGCTGTCCGATGCAAAGGACGTCATATGCTGCATCTTTCACATCGGCCTTTCGATCTGTCATTCGCATCGCGCGTTGCAATCTGAACGGGCCTTTACTTCGCCCTCCCCCCTCCCCTGCCTCCCCCCTCACTCCATTCCCCGTCATCCAGCGCGCGCTGTTTTCATAACCTTTCCCCCTGTCTTTCGCTCGCTCTCGCTTTCCGAAACGGTTCTCCGCGACGGTTTTTCGTTGTCGCCCTACACCTTCCGGCCATCGTGATCCGGTTGCTTCGAGGGGACGAGGAAGAGAGTCGCTCGCTTTCACGAGAGCGACTCGCACGGGGGGGACGTTGTTGCCCTCGCCACCACCGCGCTCGTCGTCTCGGCTCGCATAACCTCGACGCGGCACCTCGACGCGGCACGGCCGTGCCGAGCAACGTCCTCGGTGCTGTCTCTTTTGTTCCAGCGGTACTATAGATATAAATGATGAAACGGAGGAGGAATTGGCGCGAATTCGCGCGCGAGCGAGGTTTCCAGATACAACCAGATTAGAGGTGAGTTGTCAAACCGTGGGAGTCAACAACCACGTTTCCCCTCCCGGCGCGGGTCTCGGGAGTGAACTCGGAAATTTGTACCGAAGGCAAAGAAAAAGAAAAAAAAAACGAAAACCATGCCTTGACCTTGCGTACACCACCTGTCGCTACTTCCCGCTCTCCCCTCACGCCTCGAAATCTCTCTTCCCATCCGAATTATCCGAGTTAAAAAATATCTCACGTTGTCCGATTGCTTTTCAGCAAAACGACATAACCGTCGTTACCAAGTACGCCTGCGGGGCCGTTGGCGAGAACAGCGCGTCTATCACACCAATAATACAGAGACGGGCTCTCAGGCAGCACGGTTTTAGCGTTAACGAAAGATGTAGTATAAGAAATAGTCTTTTGCCGAATAAGCAAGAAATCATACACGACTACGGCTCGAAGGTATTCTGCGGTTCGTATTCCAAAGATGGAGAATACTTCATCACTGCCACTCAAGGTACTGCTGGCGATACAGGTACCGCGTCATTGTCGTACGGAACGTTGTATACAAATTTTCCATGCGCGTCGCTCCACATTGGCTCGTGACCACCGCCCCCCCCCTCCCCGTCTATAATTGCTCGCGTGAATCTTTGCAGATAAATGGTTACACGTATATCGGTCGAACAACGGCAATTTTGTCTTGTACAATCGGATGCTGGCGCACGACGTGGGCTGGAGCGTCCTGGACGTCGCGTTCAGTCCGAACGGCGAACATTTTGCGTACTCCAGCTGGGCGGACTGCTGTAAGTGGCGTCGCGAGTCGATCGCAGCATTGCGCCCGCCCGATCGCGCGAACCCCGCCAGCAGTCTTGTACCAGTGTGCGGTTTGTTTTGCAGTATATCAGTGTCACATGTCCAGACACTCGCTGGAGACGCTACAACTGATGCCGGGCGCGCGGCGATTTTGCGTCTTTTCCGTGGCCTTTTCGAGTGACGGCGCGGAGATCCTCGGCGGCGCCAACGACAGGTGCATCTACATGTACGATCTCGACCGCCACGAGCGAGTCTTGAAGGTTCGTGGAATCCGGTATTCGGAAGAGCGGGGAAGAGCGCGGCCTGTCACTCCTGTCGCACCTGTGTCATGTTCATTGATTTTTTTTTTTACAGTTCCTGGGTCACGACGAGGACGTAAACTGTATTGCCTACGCAGACGACAGCTCGCAGATCTTCTATAGCGCCAGCGACGACGGATTGGTCAAGGTAATAATTCATCGGCGTCCGAGAGGCGCCGCGCTCTCTTCAACGGTACAATTCCGAATGTCTTGGTGTATCGCGAGAGAAATCGAATGCGCGCTATAATTACAAAGACCAATGAATTTGACATGCACGCGACTATCCGGTCGACGTTCTCGCTCTGTATTACGTCTTTGAATGTCTTCCTGTCAGTTTAGGTGTGGGATAAGAGAAGGTTAAACCCCGCTAATCCGCGTGAAGTTGGAGTGTTGGCCGGTCATAGGGACGGAATCACGTACATCGATTCACGCGGCGACACGCGGTATTTAATAACCAATTCTAAAGACCAATGCATCAAATTGTGGGATGCGCGCATGTGTTCCGATTATAGAACCCAACAAAACGCTCGCCAGCAAATGGAGCATCGATACTGGGACTATCGATGGCAGCCTGTACCTCAACGATGTAAATATCTATTTACAAGCCAAAAAAAAAAGGAAAACGGAAGAAAGATACTCGTTAAGGCAACCATTATTTTTTTTTTACCTCTAAATTAATTAGATACATCCGAAACGTCTAAGGTGACAATTGATCTCCATCGTTATGCGCAATTACCAAGTACATACGATATTTTCCTGTTTCAGTTTGCGAACGAGGGTTCATAGATGGTGATACCAGTGTCATGACGTATTACGGTCATTCGGTTCGTAAGACTTTGATACGTTGTCATTTTTCGCCGCCGCACAACACCGGCCAGAGATACATTTACACGGGGGATTCATCGGGTTGCCTCGTCAGTAAGTGCCGAGTGTTGCGTTCCGCTTTTCTCAATACGCGAAACCAGCGTGTAAGCGAAGGCTGATGTCCCTATTTTTTTCTCTCATTCGCAGTATACGATCTTCTGACGGGAAGGATAAAGCGCAGGATAAAAGGTCACGTAGGATGCGTGCGCGATGTTAGCTGGCACCCTTTTAATCACAACATCATTACCTCATCTGTAAGTAAAATCATTTGATCGCGAAAACGCGTCTCGTGGATTTCGAACGAAAGAAACGTCGCGGGGAGAGCCATTTGTTTTTCACGTTTATGAGAAAAGAAGGGGAATTGTACGATATTTTTTTATAGAAAGAGAATTGAAAAAGCGTGAAAAATGTGTCTTCATCAATAAAATCCATAGTTTTTTTGTTTTGTCCAAATGCTCATGCAAAACTTTTGTCTTAAGTGCAATTACATGTGCCATTACGATAAGATAAATATGTTTTGTGCTTATAGTGGGATGGTACAATAGCCAAATGGGAATATAGTGAGAACGCCAATGAAAACGATGATCAGCGAGATCAGCAAGATGAGAGAGATCAGCAAGATCAACGAGATCGGCGAGATCAGCGAGATCAGCGAGATCGGCGAGATCAACGAGATCGGCGAGATCAGCGAGATCAACGAGATCAGCGAGACCAGCGTCCGCTGCGTCGGAGTGAGAGACTTCGAGCACAAAGAAGAGCAAGGATGCCCGATATAATGTGAGGGTTTCTATTTTCCGATTGTTTTTTCTTTCCTTTTTTTTCCAAGCAAATCTAATGTTCGCGATTGCTTGGAAAAAAAAAAGGGGAGAATGAGGGAAACGTCTATCGAGGAACGATCTTCCGTAGACGTCCATGTGATTCTCCGCCAGGAACGCAAATAGACATTGTACAAGACTGACGAACGCGATATATTTCTATCCGTCTCTGCCGTTGTGTTTGCATATTTCGCGATTCTCGTTGCGATCGTTTTTTTCCTTCGCATCGTTGATACAGATTGAATCGCCGATTCGATCTGTTTCAATGACACACAGACGATCGATTTATATGCGGCACAGAGAGCTTCCTCTTCGCGTTATAAGTATTTTGTATCGCGAAGCGTTTTAATCGAACGATCGCCATCTAGTTTTTATGAAATCTTTGATAAGCCATATCTTATCTCATCAAACCTCGACACTGATAAATTACGATTGGTTCTTATTTTTACAAGGGAACACACGTAAATACCTCCTCCCCTCCCGATTTCGACGAGTTTTGCATATCGATATTGTATCTATACATCCCTTAATATACATAAGCAACATAACACTCGTCAAAATTCGTCGAAACTTGGGGATCTTGGGGAAAGGAGGGAGAACTTGCGTGTACTTTCTTAGATTGACATTTTTATCTCATTTAGACGTATTTGATTTGAATTAATTAAATTTTAGGTTTGTTTACATCATTATAACTTTTGGAATAATCTTTTCCGAAAATATCAGAGTACAATTTTGGATCGAGTTTGGATCGCCTCGTTCTCGTTGTCGATTTCTAGCTATATATGCATAATTATAGCAAAATACATAATTGTTAAAGTCGGCAGCTGGTTTTATTACTTTATGCAATATAAAGGGAGATTCTTTTTATTATAACTGTAGTATACGAGATATTTTCTTTTGAAAGTAACCAGAAACCCGACGTGTTTATATTAAACGCGACGAACAACTTTCGCACAATCAAAACTTTAATTAAAATAAAATAATTTTTTGCGTTTTTTTACGCAGAATGGTGTCTTTACACTCTTTACAGTCACAAAGCAATGTCGTTTTGTGATACGCAGTGATACTTATCTTAGGTTCTATAAACATCAAACATATACACATTGAAATGAGATTTTCTCACCGAGCGAGAATATTTTAACATCAACAACAACATGACATCAAAAGAACATGATTGAAATTAACGTTTTTCAATGTAAACACAAATGAATTATTTTAGTAAAGTGAAGTAAACAATTAGTTTAAAAGATAAAAAGTAAGACTCGTGGAAAGTACAAATATAATATTGGTATCGCGGCGTATATGAGTCAGCGCGGTAAATGGTTCGTTACGAATATACGAAATTATAAACACTATTTGTTGAAATTATTTTTCATTGCGCACCATTTGCCGCGCCGACTCGTACACGCCGCGATACCAATATTAAATTAATTTAAAATTGGTGGAAATGATTCGCGTGGTGAGGGAGTACTATTTTTCCTACACAAGAGATTTAGTTAGTTAATTATTCAATTAATTCACAACAAACGTTTGGAGTGATTTATGATTCGTTAATTAATTAATTGATTAATTAACAAGAAAAGATCAGAATGATTTGTGATTTGTTGTTAATTAATCATGAATAATTTATTTATAAGCAATTAGAAATGAGCGCAGGATAATCGGGGCGATCCATGATTTTAAACTAATTGCAACCTTTACCGCAATTAATTAAAGTTTGATGTAATTTTTATCTCGAAAAGATGTAACATATTGTTGGTTTAATAAAATGCCATATGGCTCGGCGTTTTAATATTATTAATCTCAAGTTTTTAGGACAGAAATCTTTTATCACATCCAAATTTCTCCCTGAAAGTCACAAAAATTATAAGCCCAAGAAATTTTTCTCCAAGTATTTACCTCTCTTTCCAAAAAAAAAACCTGTTCCTATTTGAAAAAATTAATAGTATACCCATTGTAATTGTGTGTTATATACTATGTTGTTATATATTACGCTTTTATTGATATTTACAGCATAATTAATTATCTCATTCTGTCGGGCATTAATACGTAATTGAATGCACGCAGTTACGTAACGCAAAATCCAACACGTGTAGGAGAAGAACGAAGGCGCGCGCGCGCGCATAGAAAAGATCTTTGAACTGGCGTGACCTTTCGTCGGAAGCCGCGTAAAATAAACGATAATTGATTTAGCTCGCGGAAAGACAAGAATTTGGAAGCCGCACCAATTCCGATGGATCGTGACGTAACTCGCGACGCGCAAGTATCGTTGCGATTACGGGAGTGCTACAAATACGATAAAACTACCTATAGCTTTGTAAATCTCGGATAAATTATCATCCTGAAGCGTCTCTCGGAATTTTCTTTACATACATATAAAACACAATTTCATTAATAACATTTTTGAAAGCGCGCAGAATTTTGTCGACCTTCCATCTGAGGCACATTTTGTTAAATCCTTGAGGAATGTCTCTCCATGCGACGCGATGGACTAATTATCTCGAGACAAAAAAATACGCGAGCCACATAATTGCCTCCGTAATCACCGTGCATTTCCTCTCGCCGGTTTTCTACATGGAAATCGTTTGACAGCCGTTTTGCGAAGACAAAGGCGAAGACGAGCCTCGGCGCTTCCAGATTTAGCGCGACGAAGATGCGCGTCGCGTTAAATTGAAAAAAAAAGTCCCATTGTCGATGAGGTACACGCGCGGCGTGTGTACGTTTTCCGGATGGTCCTTGAGGAAGTGAGCCTTGGATGAGATGTTTCTGATGCGAACGAACGCGACTTATTCGGATCTAGCGGCGCCGACAATAAAAATCCGACAGTCCATAAATGGCGCTGCCTTAATTTCTAATGTGCTATATTTACGGTGACGTCATGTACATACGTAAAAACGAGGTGCAAATTTTTTCGCACGTTTTTTCCTCCCATTATTCATCGCTAATGCAATGACGAGGCAAGAGGATAGCGCGCGACTTGCGCAAGATAAAGGCTTAGAATAACAGGGATCTAAGGAAGATTCATTGGAAACTGAAAGAGCATCGACTTTGTATTATATCTCGAATTTTTTTTTAAAGATAAATCTCCGAAAAAAATAACTTTTACTGAAAACCGATAGAATCTAACGTTTGCACTGCAAATCCATGTGTGTGTACTATAGTTACTTTTTACGCATTTATACGCGTGCTATATTTTTACACCGTTTATCTGTCTTTTACACAGTTAAATGCATATTTTTTACACGCCTAATTCTATAATAATATGTGTAAGCGTATAAAAAATATGCATTTAACTGTGTAAAACACAGATAAACGGTGTAAAAATATAACACGCATATAAATGCGTAAAAAGTGACTATAAATTTACACATTTGGATTTGCAGGGTGCCCTATTGTATAAATGAATACGGAAAAGAAACAGATTGATGAACGTATCATTCTTCCATCGGTATCGAACTTAATGTGACCCCATTTCGCGTAATCTCACCGTGACAAATCTCAACTAATTCGATATTCTTTTCCGAATTTTATCAAATTGTGCGATCGGGAAATGAAATCGGCTTTGAAATGGATATCCATATCGTTCACGTTATCGTCTAATGGCAAATCCGATCCGAACAGAGTGATAAAATTAAATATAGGCTTTAATTAAGCTTCCCTTCTCTTCGAATGGTTATCAGCGGCCTCCCGGATCCTGCCTTCGAGATCGTCTCAAGGTAATGGGCGACGGCATACACGCCACACGGCGATACGCAAATTCTTAGTCTCTTTTTTTTTTGCATCATTAGTCGTGCGGTAAGCGAGCGTCGCCCGCGCAGCGTTACCGCGGCGTATGCCGAGCGTATAAAGCGATAATGTAACGCTATAAAAGCCAGATAAGAGACATTCGCGAGTCTTCCTACCCGCGAAGACCGCGAGCTGTCAGTCGCGCATCGTTACCGGGACGTGCAGTTGTTAGATAAGATATATCGTTTGTGCGAGTGGTCTTCGCGATTGTTCTCCATTCGCAACGTTCTCCACTCGCGATCCCTCGTCGACGCGGAGCCCGAAAGAAGTCAGGTAGACGCGTACCGTTGAAAATTCATCTTCTTCTATTCCTCCTGTCTCATGCTATCTTTTTGCATAGCGGGCTTATCAGACTGCGCATACATATTGAAGATTGAAGACTGCGAGTTGGAGATTCAGAATTCAATCAGTTGGAATGAAACAGATTAAAATTAAAATTATCTGATTGATCAAGTTCTAATCGTGAATTCGCAAATCTTAATCTTCAATGCGTAGTCTCATATGGATATTTCTAGACTTACAATAAGTGTAGTAAGGCTTTTGCTTATCGCTCTAACAATTAGTCTTATAAGTAATTAAACTGCGACGTTTTTTTTCAGCAAAAAGTGTTTCCAACGTCTTAAGTCGTAATTCCTAAGCACAAGCTGGTCAGATCGCAACTGTAAATTTTAAAGCTTAAAGCAAATTAACATCACAGCTCAGAATTTAGAGGCCAATAAAGACCTATTGTAGATCGGATTTGAAAATCGCAAAAATTGAAATTGATAAATGCTTTATTTTCCATGAAAATTATATCGAAATTATGTTGAATGAGTCGGCGACATTTTTGCGTAACCGGTTTCCATTAATTACAATATATGATCTCATAATATATGCAAGAAATCATTCATATGCCGCAAAAAACTGGAAATTTTCAGCGTTACAAAAAAAAAAGAGGAAATATACGCCTGACGTAGAGATAGGTTTGACGTGAAAATTATTTGCAGCGAGATCAATCCGAGTATCAATCGATTTAAATCAACCAATACATTAGAATCTATATGAATATAATCAGTATAATCATCAGTATAATCATCATATTAACATATTTGCATTGAATGAAACCTGTTACGGATAAACATCTTTATCGTTTAGCGTATTTTTGTTCTAAGACTGTGTTTCGATACTGCCAGTGTTGAAAAATTTATATAATACGCATAATGCTAGCTAAGTGCGAATCAATACGTGACTAAAATATATGGTACGATACAATCATCTTTCGCGCTCCGACTGCTGATTTAATTTACAGCTCTTAGTATCGATCGTGTAACTTTTTCTCTAGAGTGAAAACGTGAAAAGTGAAAGTTTTTGCCATTAAAACGAAATTATTTTTCACTTTCCACGTTTTCGCAATAGGGAAAAATATTATCTGAGTATCCTGATTCATCTAACTAACGCACTTTTATAAAGTGAACGTTTTATAAAGTATTGTATTCTGTGCCGTAATCCAGGGTTGAATATCGATCGAGTTAAAAAGAGGAAGCAAGCAGGCTTTTACTTTCCACGATACAGACATGGCAACTACCGAAACGTGCAAAGTGAAGTCGCCGATTAAGAACATAGGCCGCAGGAATGTCGTTCCCATAATCCACGTTCGAGGAACGCACTACGAGATCGGCTTTGACATCGTAAGGAATAGACAATGTTTATTTATTCGATTGCACCACGGTAGATTTTGCATAATGTTCTTTTCCAAATTGAGCGTCGTCTTTCCTCGAAATCTTTTAGAGTTCGATTAGAAATTATTCTTTACTGTGTTCAAAGTCTTTGAAAGGTTTTGAGGATAAAAAGATTTCGATGAATTTTGTGTACATATAATAATTATCTCGTATTTACAGCAATTCTACGTCATTTTAATTTTATATGTAATAATATATTGTTTTCGATATTTAATGAATAATAATAATAACTATCATTTTCATGTAATAATTACCGTAGCAGTAATTAATTAGCGTATAATAATAAATATTTCAATTCTTGTTTCGAAATTCGATGTCACTTTTAATGACATGTCACAAATCAAGCATGTTATGTCACAATTTTTTTCATTTTTTCTGCATTTCTTAAATGAAAATAATACTGCAGTACGAGAAATAAGCATATATGTCAGCGGACGATGTAATATACAGTGACACCTGCATTCGCATAGAACATGAGCGGCGCAAAGCACGCGTGTAAATCACAATCGCCAATGCGACTTGGCACTGCATTGCATTTGCAGTTTTCTCGTGTCTAATCCGAAGGAACGAAGTCCGATATGTCACACGCGATTTAAGAAGGTGCTGCAGGTAGCTAATCTCTGATCGGCACAAGTGCGAGATAACGCATGAACGGAGAGACAGCGAGAAAATGAGAACGGTCATTGGTGTGACATTCACCCGGATTAAATTCCTGTTGTTCTATATTTATATGTATATTTATCACGCTGCATTGGCCAATGTGTCACGCCGCGTGCGTTCGATTAAATTCTCACGTTCACGAAATCCGCGTTCTCTCCCTCCTGTTTATTTTTTCTTTACATTAGGGACACACCTTCGCCAAGATGATTCAGGATTTCGTGGACATCTATCAGCCGCTGAACGAGATCTATCTGCCGCTATTCGCGACCGAGCAGGGCAAGAAGGTTTACGATGAAACCCTTAACGCGGTCAAGAAACAGTTCCCGCAGTACTTGAGGGAGATCGAGGGAACGGCGGACGGCGCCAACGTGCCGTTTTACAAAGTACGAAAAATAGCTGAATAGAGATAAAAAGAGATTAGAATTCGTCTTGAAGATACAATTATTTATTAATTATTAACAGTAAAAACTTGGAGTCGTAAACTGAAATATGTAATTACGATGGGGTTTGATTAAGAATTAATTAATTAATTAAAATAATTTTCTCTTAAGCTCTGCAAATTTCTGTTGTTTTATTTTCGCTTTCAAATAAATCGAGAGATTATTGGGGTAATAATTCCATATAACAATTGAGTAATTACGAGGATTTTGGTTTTGTATGAATAATTTTGAAATTAAGTTAAAATAAATTAATAATTAAAGCATAACATAATTGGTGCAGCTGTTTCTGATGCATCTGGACGATATTATTTCGAACGTTACCGGAACGGAGGGAAACGCACTTCCAGTTGGTTGTTCAACCATCATATGCAACCAGCCGGGACATGTAAGATTGACAATATAAATCAGTATAGATTATAAATCTCGCTACGTATAATAAACTCTCTTTTCCAGGCGAGATAAATCGCGAACTTTTAATTCTTTTTGTGTTATTTAAACACGACATCAATGAAGATATGACAATAAAATAAGCAGCGACGATAACTACGACAAATAATTACTACATCGGATAATAAATCGAGAGTCAACTTTCCTCCCGGTAAACTCAGTCGACAGATATTTAATTTTTCTTTGATGTGGCGTGTAATTACCTGTTGTAGCAATTATCTTCGCGTTATCTCGTATTTTAATCGCTGTCGTAAAAACGCGAAAGTTAAATGCACGTGTAGCACTCGGATGATGTCAATTTCGTTTTCTATGAAAAACAACGGTAATAATACCAGAATAAATTATCAATTTAGCACAATTTCCTCCGCCGTAAATCTCTTCAGAACATCACGATTATAGTCTTATGTAACCAAGTACGAAATTATAGGCTCACTATGACGATATTATCTTAATCGTATTCGCAAATAAATCGTAATACCGGAACATACCAGAACATTAAGTTCAAAAATTCATAATTATATACTGCATATGTATAAGACGTTTTTCTATTTTTTCTCTGTGATTACTATTATTTTATCATCTTATTCTATTTATTATTTTATTACGTTACGCGAGATTTATTTTATTCTTATCTCTTTTTTTTATGTGTTGCTTGATTCTGTTTCCGTGACGCGCGCTTGATGGAGAATACAGGAGATCTTGGGTCACAATGAGGATGCCGTCAGAGAAACTTTAAACTATTGGTACCTCGTGAATGCTCACGTTATCGAGACGGGCTACAGAGAGGAAAAGTTCACGTCACTGAGCTACGCCGGTTTCCTGCCGGGCTACACGATGGGCTACAACCACCACGGCCTCGTTTACAGCATCAACACCCTCAGCGCTGCGGTCCTGCGATCCGGCAAGACTCGTGAGCTTTATTTCTTTGTGTATCGAGCATCTTTATAAGTCAATCGTTATATATATATAGTTATTAAAAAATTGTAATACTTTTACATTCTATATTTCGTCCTCTAATTGAAATCTCGTTACGCGTACAGCGCGATATTTCCTGACACGCGCGCTGCTGGGCGTGGAGAACTTCGTGCAGGCGCAGGAGACGCTGAGGAACGAGCGTTACGGCGCGGCGGAGGGCTTCTCGGTGAACATGACGTTCCTCGCGCAGGAGGGCGACCGGATGTTTCACAACGCCGAGGTGGGCCCGGCCGAGGCGGGCGCCAATCGGTCGCAGCTCAGCATCCTGACCGTCAGCCCGGGCGAGAATACCTCGCATTGCAACAAGTATACGCGATGCCCACATATGCGCATAGATTTGCATATGCATAAGAAGAAAACATTCCGTTCTGCGAAATGACGCGGTTACTTACTTTTCCCGTTCTTTGAAGAAGACATTCTTTCTCGCCTATCTCTTGCCCCTTTTTCCAATCGTATAATACGCGAAGCGCAGTATATTGAACTAATAACGCATCATATACTGGATCTTTATCCTGTGTAATGCACTTCTCCAGATACCTACGTCTAAAAGTGGAGGAAGTGGAGGGGAGGATCATAGAGAGCAGCAACAGGAGGATGGAGGTGATTTCGAAGCATCCGCCGGTGGAGTGTCGCCAGGATGTGATCGATATACTTAGCGATCAGACGGGCAAGGATTACAGGATCTATCAAGATTTCGGCAGCGATGATGATGAGATCAAGACGATTGCCACTGGTATGCCTATAATAAGGAAATATTCGTATTTTTAATTTTTTTTTATTTCCCTTCAATTAATTAAAATTGATAACGAATATATGACCATTAATTAGCAGGAACATCATGCATTAATAAGATACGATGAGATATTATATATTGACGAATATTTGTTAGACAAAAACGATTATCGGAAAAAAGATCACGTCACATTTATTTAAAAGTTTCCTGCTGTTACGTTCGAGAAATATTGATTGAAATCTTGGCGCACGTACTTTTCAAATCTCTCATTCTTCTTCGATGAATCAGAACTCGCCTAATAGAATCGCAAAGATGAATGAATATTCCGAATGTAAATTTAAAAAAAGAATGCGTAAAAGAAATCGCGGAAAAATCTTGGAAGACTGTTTGCAAACCTTACGATTTATCTATTTCAGGCATCTTCGATTGCATCGAGCGTACGTGGTCCATTTACACGGACATTCCGAAGACCAACGAACCGATCCTGGTGATACCTATGCAGCTCCGAGACTTCGCGGCCCCGCAATATAACAATACAAAGAAATAATCTTTTTTTTTTTCGTCTCGCACGAATCGCAAAAATATAGTGTATAGTATAGTGTACAGTTTGCCGTACTGATATTTTTTTAGATAAAAAAAATTGATACGATCTGGCTATAGAAAATATCAGGATATACAAAGATATCGTGTCGCGATTAAGATATAAAAGAATAGCGCGTCATTAGAAATTAGCAAAGTATTAATGTACAGAGAAAAGATTCATTATTTTGCTGCATATAAATGACGATTTTATGAGATTAGGAAACTATCGACATCTCAATAGCCTTAGTGAGAAAAATGACTAAACTTTATTAATACTCTTCATTATGTAGAATGACTCCGTGCGAGAGCGATTGATTTGTAATCCTAGTTCGATTCTTATTTCTCATGTTATGTATATGCCTCAGTTTATAAGAAGTTAATTGAAGAGTTGAAAATTAAGAATAAAGGAATATACGATGTAAATTGTAAGATTAGTTTCGGGAATAATACATTGATACGTCATGCATAATAATAGTCACTACATTTGCCCATTAATCAGGCAGAGGAAATAAAAGCTCACCGCTATTCTATTTCGTAATTTCAGCTTTAATTTCTTGATATTTTTCGTAGTATGAGTACATTGTGATGATTCTCTTCCTTTTTAGTATTAGTAGCTTCCGGGAACCATTCGCATCCAATCGGTTGAAAAGTTCGCAATGTAACGTAAGATACTAAATTCCAGTAAAAAAAAAAAGGCAATCTAAACGATTATACAGAATCATTTTATCCTTTAAACAAAAATCGGCGCGCGAAAACGCCGTGTGATAACAATTATAGCTTACTCACCCAAATATGCTAAAAAACATAAGCAACCGGTCGATCTTGTTACCGCTCTTAATTAAATAAATGTACAAAACATGCCGCCCCACTTTTACACGCAGATATAATCCGCATATTCTTTTTTTTTCTATTTCCTTCGTTACAATTACATTTTTTATTATTCTTGTTCGTATTTATAATTGCATGTCTCTCACGGATGATTGCGCGAAACAAAATCCATAGTAAACCGACGTTTTTATGTTGTAATTGTATACAACTGCTCCAGCAATATTTAATCGAATTACAATATTTAAATAGATATTTAAATATGGTGCGCGGACTTGAGGTTACAATTTGTCAAGGTATGCGTTCAAGTCTGGGAGACCCTCCTTCAATCCCTTCCTCTTGCGTGTGTCCTGCGAAGAAAAAAAAAACAATTTTTATCGACATGTCGATTTGAATACAATTGCGATAAGTACAATTATTTCAAAAATGTTTTGTTTGTACGAAAAAAATTGTACGTTTCCCTATTCAGGTAAACCAGAATGGACTACTGGAACACCAAAACTAAAAAACGCTTTCTTTCCCACGAGATTAAAAACAGCGACGCACTGAATCGTCGCCGCCATCAGTTATGCACGTGGTAAGATTCAGGAATTGATTAGCAATAAAGGAATCTCGCTTTTAATCAATGAAAAGCCCGAAATTTTGTCTCAGGGATAAATATCTATTAAAGTAGAGAAAATAAGGAGATGAAAGAATCGCGAGTGTACATACCTGCACGACTTGGTAAGGTCGAGTGGTGAGTTCCATTGGGTCACCCGGCAGGATCTGCCAGTGATCGAACACGCACTGTGGGAAAGCCTGACCACCGGTGTTGGAGCGCAGATCGGCAGTGAAGCCGAAGGATTCGTTTACGGGAAGGTACGCTTTAACTACGAACATAGGAGTACCCGCCACCTGTTGTTCCTCGAACACGTGACCTCTCCTACGATTCAGCACGCCGTAGATACCACCGACCGCTACCTCCGGGCACTGCAAAAAAAAAAGTTTCGATATTTAGATATACAGATATCCTGTCAGTTATTTTTTTTTCACTACAACTCGTGTATGAAATTGATGGTGTCACGATTGACAATTTACCTGAATTTCGCATAAGTAAACGGGTTCCATAATACGGGGTGAGGCAGTGAGAAGACAGGCATAAAGGCAACGTCTTGTGGTAGGGATAATTTGACCACCACCTCTGTGGATCGCGTCGGCGTGTAGTGTTACGTCGTGTATGTTGAAACGTACACCTCTCAAGTTCTCCTCCGAAAGCACGCCCTGCGGCAAAAAAGTGAAAGTGAATTATCGCTGAACGTCATTAAATGCGCGTGCACTCGATGATCCAGATATCTCTTACCTCTTTCGTGGCCCATTGGAATCCAGCTACCACAGAGTCCTTAATTTCGTTGAGGTACTGTACACCCTTGGTGCAGTCGACCAGTATGTTAGGTCCGCTGCCGTCAGGCCCGAAGCACCAGATTTTCCTCGCCTCCGTCACGTCGTAATCGTACTTCTCGTTCAAGTAACGAGCGCGCACTTTGAAGTCATCTCGCGGATTAACGTCGCCCTGCAAAGTCACATTGAGAAAGATTAAAATTTACTTTCGGCCAAGCATCGAACTGACAACTTAAATTACCGCGCTAATTCTTTCTCATTTGGATATTAAATAGTACTTAAGATTTTACGATGTATCGTCAGATGGAAAAATTTAAATCACAGGGCTTCATAACCCAATGCTCATAAAAGTTTCATCATATTTCGTTCAATTTTATTAAAAATACTGCGGTATTAAATTCCTTAAAAAAATAATAAAATAAAAAATAAAACTTACGCTGTCAATGTCCTCAGCGAGACCGTCTGGCATCGGACAAGCCATCATGAACAGACGATTGTGTTTGTTCGGCGATTTCGACAAACACATTTGATTCGACTGTTCGGAGATCGTTTCTCGGTACGACACGACGGGATCGGACTTCTTGATCGGGATGCATGCGTGATCCTCCTCCAGATCCTTCAGACAAATCTCGAGATGCAGTTCTCCGGCACCGGCGATGATATGCTCACCAGATTCCTCAATGATGCACTGTACCATAGGATCGGATTTCGCCAAACGTTTGAGACCTGTCGAATTGAGTACAATTAAAATCACATGAACGAAATAAATAATATTTAATAAGATTTAACAATCGTATCGTCAGATAGAAAAATTAAAATCATAGGTCTTCATAACCCAATGCTCAAATAAATCTCATCATATAAAATCATATTTCAATCTTGTACAAGATTAATTATAAGTAATACAAATTTCAAGAATCGATGTTTTAGTATCATAAATTTCCAAATCACAAAATTGATTTATTCTTTTTAGGCTAATAATTTATCAAATATAAATAAAGCTGGAAAACTCACCTTCGACCAATTTTGGCAAATCAGCAGGATTTTTCGGCTCGACCGCGACACGCACAACAGGCGACACAGAGAACTTCATAACTTTCATGTTGTGCGCGTCCTTGAACGTTGTGATGGTACCGGTCTTAACCAAGAACTGATCGACGCCGACAAGACCGCAAATATTACCTGTGCAAATTAAATTAGTTGCAACACACGAATGTACGATCAATTAATTCTAATCAGCGTTTAGCTGAATCAGCTGGCCGTTCTATTTGTCTATCACTAGTTAAGTCAGAACAGGTCTGTGTAGAACAATCATCATGTGCGCAGGCTGGAGATAAGGGGAGCACCGCAGATCTCGATACTAACCAGAAGGCACATCTTCGATAGCTTCAACGTAACGGCCCATCATCAGGATGGTACGCTGGATAGCTTTCTCGTACAGATCCTCCTTCTTGCCGGGTTGGAAGTTGGGTCCCATGATGCGGGCCTTCATGCCGGTGGACACCTTGCCCGAGAACACTCGGCCGAAAGCGTAGAAACGTCCCTTGTCCGATGTCGGTACCATTTTCGAAACGTACATCATCAGTGGTCCATTTGGATCGCAGTTCTACAAAAAATGATGACTTTAATTAATGAGAGCGGACTCTCTCGATAATTCGATTCTATAATACGATTCTTCTGTAAGTCAGCGTTTCGATTTTCCCTCATTTACGTTTCAGTACAGGTCTGTGAAATTTTATATCATCACGTGTACTTGTATCGTTTGATACGTGTGTCGAATATTCAAAAGAAATCGCAAACCTTAATTCCAATGGCAGCTTCGTCATCGAGCGGTCCTTCGTACAGCATCTCCATGCGGTATTTTTGAGCAGTTACAGGAGACGGCAAATGAATGGCAATCATCTGAAGAAGAGCCTCTCCGGCGGGCAACCATGTTCTCATAACGACCTGGAAAAAGTCGTGCGACACGATGAGAAAACATTCTAAAGAAGATAAACTGGCACGCGGTTATCGGACGTGTCCCTCAGATTTAGCGTTCCCTCATTATAAATCGGAAGAGGTGTCAGAAAAAAAAGCCATGAAACTATCATCATTATGCGCATTTATACCGAATATAATCTGTAAACACAATTGAAAGAAGTCTACCTTCAACAAAGCTTTTCCATCCTTGTCCTTATCCTCGGGTTTCAGCACGATACCCAGCTTCTTCAAAAGATTGTCTGCCTCTTCCTTCTTGTAATTCATAATACTATCGAATACCTGTAAACAATTTTTCATTCTGGTTATCAATATATTTATCTCACGGCGATAACGCAAACACAGCTCATTTTACGTAACGTTTAAGACGATGAGAGAGACCTTACCTTATAAATTGGATCTAAGACGTACATGCAGAAGGAACGTTTGTTATCGGTCTCCTTCTGTTTGCTCCACTTCTTGGTCTTGGGATTGAAGAAGGACTCGCCCCACAGTCGGTTCATAAGTTTCACCACGTCGATCTTGAATTTCTCGGCATACATCTCGGAGAATTGTTTTAGGGTGAAGGCCCAGCCGTGGAGGCCAGAACCAAAGCCTACAGAGCCTTTGCTGGGATCTACCTGTTTTGTAAATAACAATGATTTAAATAATTTAATGATACGTATAACGATTGTTTTTTTATATATATATCAAAAAAATATCTTTCACTTACTCTAACTTCACCCATAGGGCCGTCGTCGTCAGAGTACGTTGCGATAATAACGTTAACGTTTTCAACGATACGCTGGAAAGTTTGATAGAGATCTTCGCTATCGAGCTGGAGTTCCAACAGTGCACGGTCCATCTTGTTCATGAATAAAACGGGCTTGATACGCTCAGCGATCGCTTGGCGCAGTACGGTTTCAGTTTGTACGCATACGCCTGAAGAAAGGAAAGGAGCGAATAATTACAATCACTTTTCTCACTTCAGAAAATCGTCGATGTTCTACTTGTTTCTCGGGTAGGAATCTTATTACTGCAAAACAGTATATAAATATATTCCAAGACGACATAATAACCTCAAAAAAAAAAAGGCAATGTAGCATTTGTATCGTAGCGTGTTAATAACGGACATAAGGATAGAGGTCCACTAACAGCGTTTAGACACAATTGCTTTTTTTTTACTCTTCTTCCATTGCACTGTCAACACTGTCAATGTATGCCGGCCAGTTTGTGCAAACCAAACGGCATACTGCAGAGTAACCCTTGTGTGCTGGAAGACGATCTGACCGATCGCGGCAAAGAAACATGGGTGGTACAGTCGTGGACAGATCGATTGCAACATTTTTTTTTATAGGTTTCAAAATTCACTAATATTTTGCGAGTGCGAACCACGATTCGTATTATACTGTCTCTAAATTAAAGATAGTACGTGGTTCGCATTTGCAAAATATTAGTTACCTATAAAATATATATCATGTATATTAAATATATATCAGAAACTTATAAAAAAAAAAGTGTCGCAATCAATCTGTCCACGACTGTACAAACAGGAAAAAGGGGAAGAAAAAATACGTAAAAACACATACATACCGGATACGCAATCAACAACAACGAGAGCTCCATCTGTGACACGGAGGGCGGCTGTGACCTCGCTCGAAAAATCTACGTGTCCGGGCGAATCGATCAGGTTAATTAAAAAGCCCTTCTCGTCTTTGTCGCGCTGATCGGGATTTTTGATAAAGACTAAATCTTTCTCATCGAGTTCGAAGTACATGGAAATAGCGCTAGAAAGGGAAAGAGAGAGTGGTAAGCGATATTAATTGCTTGTAGCGGTAATGTAAGATTCAAAGGGTGGGGTGTGCCACGTTGTAACGCAACTCACGTGGATTTAATGGTGATACAACGCTCCTGCTCGTCCTTACGCGTGTCTGTGAACCGGGTCTCGCCAGCCTTTGCGCCGGCGATAATACCGGCCTTAGATACAAGGGAGTCGGTCAGAGTTGACTTTCCGTGATCGACGTGCGCGATGACGGACATGTTCCTGATGTTCTTCTTCTTGTCCATCATGGTGCGGATCTCGTCTACCGTAAAGTTCACCTGCAACACAGCAAATGCTTCAGTTTTACGGGGAACTGCGCGTTGCATCTGTTGTCACCATATAGTAGAAATCGATTAAAATTAACCGGCGGATTTAAATCCACGTGCGCAAATGTATCACACAACATACAAACGTATCATATAATCGACAATTCGTCCGATAGCTCGATTCGCTACGTACATATAATTTTTCACACGACTATTGCAACATATTGCAACATAGGGAAAAACGAGTTCTTCGTAGATAAGATTTTAAAAATATGTTTTCTGCAATACATGTAGGATATTTAATCGCGTTTTGATCCCCGCAAAGGCGAAATACCTTTGCAATAGTCTCTAACAGTGACCATATTGAAACGTACGTCTCGCACAGGTGGGAAAAATATCCAACCGCCCGGAATCGTCTCGAATTAATATTACAGAAAAGAAACTTATCACCATTGTCCAAAGTGCAATTATATATTTATAGAATGTTTCATCTTTCAATACTCGTGACGTACTTTATGAAATCACAAAGATCTCTCTCTTCACGTTCGACACCGAACTTTCTCCCGCGTGCCTCTTTTGTTCCCTGAAATCGACATTCGCCAAAGAGAGTCCCGAAAGGGAAGCATATTGTCCCGAGATAACATTTCCAACACACGTTGCCCCTCGAGCGTTAAAGGGGCACGCGAGGCCCACCACGTTGCGAGCGCAACGGCGAAACATATTTCATCCGCTCGGGCCGTCTCGCGACGATTTTCCGAAGCTGCTGAACGGCCGATAGATTTTCCTGCGCGCAGATTTTCCGATCTCGGGAGCGTCGCGTCGTCATCCGAGCCGACAAAGGACCCCCGGAGGAGAGCAGCGTTGCCCCGTTGGCCCCCTCCCTCCCACTTCCCTAAACGAGCACGTTGCGTGTTCGGCAGCCACGCGAGGCGCACCATGACACGTTGCGAGACATTTCCGCTCTCGCGGGGAACACGCCGCGGACCGCCGCAGCCGACGGCGGAATTTCTTCGGGTTCGCGCGTGTCCCGCGGCGAGAACGTCCCGCGACGAACGATCCCGGGCGCCCCGCGGTCCCGGAAACCCGGGTGGATCTCATACGGAACGAGAATTGCGCAATCCGGAGTAATCGCGCCTCGTTGCAGCGAGATGCGGAACGAGCGCGACGGGCAACGCGGGTTACACGCGGCGGGGGAGGGTGTGGGACCGCGCGAGGAACGGAACGGAACGCCTCGGCGCGCACACGGGCCGCGCGAGGGATATTAGGCGAAAAATATTGGCGGCCGCGCGAGCCCGCGGCCACGCGGCCGAGGACCGTCGCGACGGCGTCGCGTCGCGCATACGTACCATCTTGGATGTTGCCCGATTGCCGACGGCCTGGTGGTCCGAATTATACGTGCACCAACTATGGCGGACTCCCTCGGAAAGAACAAGCCGTCCGCCGCGAGTGCGAATGTCGCCCCTCTTAGTGCGTGAAGGGAGCGCCGCGCTGCGGCGGCGCGCGCGCGGCCGCACAACACGGCACCGCACGGCGCCCTCCGCCGCCAGCCGCCGTCGTCCAATACCGCGTCAAGTTGCGCGCCCACGGGCACGCGCCGGATTTTCGAATGCCCGTGCCGCGCGCGATTGTCCCCTTCACGTCGAGAGAACGAATCGGTTGATTCACCCCACTTCGACCTTTCGAATTTACTCGATTGAATTTTTGTTGAACGCAGTGAAAGTAATCATTTAGAAGGTATTTTATATAAACGTAAATTACACGTCGTCCATCTTAGGGAAAGTTCACTGCACCTTGACAGAAAAGCAGCCAAAAGCAGAAGCCAATTAGAACTCGCGCTGGTAGCAAGAAAGCAGAAACTATCGATTACCAGCGCGAGTGCTGATTGGTTTCTGCTTTTCTGTCAAGGTGTGAATTCTCCCTTAGGAAAATTTGAATAATAAACGTTAAATGCAAATTAAAAATTCATAGTCGCGAGTTATTTTCTTCGATCTTATTTACGTTTTCTTAAATATTCAATTGTAATTAATCCATTTACTAATTTCGAGAATTTTCCGAAAAATCTTTAAAAAAAACCACGGGTGGTTGATAAATCAAGAAATCGCCATTCGACAGCCAATCGCGTGATACGGCGTCTAGTTACGTTTCCTTGCAGGAAAACACCCTAGACTTTTTTCCCTGTATGTTTCTCAACTTGCTCGCGTTCCGCTTGTCCATTTACCTCCGCGCGAGACTAACTGAATAGAGTTTTGGAACGTGATACAAATGGCGGCTCGCGGTATCTGCTGCCATCTGCCTCAAATGTCTTTGAAAGATCTGTCGATTGTCACAGTGGCACAGATTTCAAAATTCTTGTCAACAAGAATCAGAGATTCGGCGAATCGTCCTCCCAACAATTCCAATTTTCGATACTTCTGTTATACCTTCGCGAATGGAAAGAGCAGTAATGAGACAGATCTGTGTGTGAGTTCCTTCTTTGACTTTATTTTGTAAAAAAACTTTCTCGTTTGAGCTGCAGTTACAAAGACAATATTGCGAATTATCGCTCGATGTCGAGTTTCTCGTTGTAACCTGTCTCTCTCTCTCTCTCTCTCTCTCTCTCTCTCTCTCTCGATTGTCTAATTGATATTTTTTTAGGTACAAAATGTACAACACAACTTACACAACGCAGCTACAAGGAACAGATCTAGGATGTCAATATCGACGAAATGAATCGGTACCGCGAACCGGCTGAGTGGAGATAACCCCGGACACGTATATACAATAAATTGATAATTAATTTGTGTAATTGATTCAATTTAAATTGCGTTATAACTATGCGCTGATCCGTAACGTCTAACAACATTTGTGTATTCACGCAAAGTGCACGTCGAGTGCCGTATATTATATATTAATTAAGTCTTAGATTATCGCTCACTTTTACAGTCCAAGTGCTTCCACGAAACAGAAAATCGCGAATTATTTTATCAATATAACATGTCATCTGTCAATTAACAAAGTTAATCTAAATAGAAGCAAGTTTCAAGTAAAAAAATTGTGAATCTTCATATGAAAGCTATATGTTACACAAGTCGATATTATATATATATATAAATAAATTTGATATTCATATAAAACCACAGAATCACTTCTAGAATTGAAATACAAGCGATACTTGATTAGCGTAATATATTCTGACGTTAAAAACGTGAGTGAGAATCGACAGACTCTTAACTCTTCCCTTTGCAGCTCTTCTCATGAATCTCCACGCGTTCGGGATTGAAGGTCCTGCCGCAGTGCTTGCAGGGCACCAGCTGGCTTAGATGCGTCATCCAGTTGGCCTCCGCCGTCGCTGTCTGGTCGACCACCTTATCACCTGTGTGGGGATCCTCTGCGAACAGTGAAGTCATTGCCGACTGTATCGTACCTTGAAAAGCGTAGGGAAAGCTTTAAGCGCCCCGGTTTCCCAAAAATCGTTATGTAAAATCGTCCGTTGCCTCAAATCAACAATCTCTACTACCGCTACTTGACTTGCCGAGGCGAATCCCTCAGAGAATTTAGATTCGAGAGCTGCCGTTGAAATCTTGCATTCGCGGCGACTTTTGGATTTAAGTTCTCCATTTTTATTCCTACGTGAAAATCGAGGGGACGTGTGGGTGACAAAAGATTTTCGTCGCATTTTGCGAAGTGATTATCGATCGATTCGTAGGCGGCGCACTCGCGATCAAGAATACATCTGCGTCGCATGTATAATTAATCAGGCACTACACCCACTCCTATTCCATAACGGGACGCGGCGGAACATTACGGATTCATATTTCATACGTTAAGCGTGTAATCGTTTCGACCTGATTGAATGTACTTTGTAGTGCTCTTGACCGTGACGGTTGTTTCAGAATGAACGTCAAGGTGAGAGACAAAAATATGCGCGAAAGGACGTGTTGCATACCGGAAGGTATGCATGAGCTCCGAAAAAAATCGATTCCGAGCGTTATGCATTGTTCCACGAGACTGCCTTTGAGCTGGGCAAAGAGACACGGCGCGGGAATAAAAAGAAATGAAATTTGTAGTACATTTAAAGGATAGAAATTGCAATATTCAGTCATATAATTTTGATATAATTCAACGTATTAAACTTTTCTTTTAAACAGACGTGATATTAAACTTTTTTCCCAAGTATATTTTAAATACCTCTCCGATTCTTTTTGCTCTTTTCCGAAACTCCGTCATTTCCGATTCATTTCCGTGTTATACATTTATGTTACTCACGTGCGTGCGAGTGTTATGGAAACGAGAACATTTCGACTTACGTATGTATATAATTTCAGGTTTTTGCGGCTCCTTCCTTCTTCGAGCCGGCGACAGCTTGTCATTCTCGGCATGCCACTTCTTCAAGCACTGGGGCTCGTGAATGGCGATACTGGAGGATCCGAAATCTCGGCCACAGATGTAACACGTAACTGTTTTCTTTTGCGGCACTTCCTACAATCAGGCAGTTTAAACGTGTCTCCTTATTTCTCTTACTATCTAAACGTTCCATTTTTCAAATAGGCTAGTCTTATTTTTTTATTGTATTTGTTTTTTTTATCGTTATAGTAAATTGCTTTATTTTATACACGATACAATCCAATATTGTGTAAAATAAGAGTATTTTTATTTCAAATAACAAAGAACTTTGTGTAGAAAAATTCGGAAATAATTTGTTATAAATGTCAGAGAATATCGAAAAAGCTCATTGTGAAAGAAAAACATTCGCACGAAAAATGCATAGTGATGTCAGTTCGGAGATTAAAGCGTGTTTTTGTCCGTTCTTCAGAAACTCACTGGATACATCGACGATGAATTTTCCTGTCCACTGCTGGCTGATTGCTGCCTGTAGGAGGCTGGACGTTCCTGCTGGCTCGAATCGCTCTGCGCCTGCCATCGCCTGTTGCACTGCGGCTCGTGAATCTTGATGCTTCTAGTACCGAATCTTCGACCGCAGACACGACATGGAACAGTGGGCGGCCCATTACGCGAGATCGTCGCCGTGGCCAGTCGTTCGTTATTCTAGAAGAAATAGATGACACGTGGAGAGGATAAAATGCCGAAGGCTGAACGGGTTTGATTACCTTCGGCACGGCTTTGCAGCTTCTCTCGTGGACCGGCAAGCGCTCCGGCAAAAACGTCCTCCCACACTTCGCACACGGAACTAATTGCTCCTACAAGGAAGTTCAGGTTCCTATTTTACTTTTTCTTCTTACTTTTATTTTATTACTTAGTAAACGAAATGTGTGTATACTTGCACTTAATTATATACAAGAGTGTCATATATTCTATATATACAAAAAAAATAGATTGATAATAATTAATGCACTGATAAGAGCATTAGTGATTGAATTAATAATTGCAAAGTGGCTTGAAAAGGATTATTTAAAGAACAATCTTCAAACTGTCTTTGAATTAACGTTTGTCTTGTGCAAATGTTAGCAGTTGAAATCGCTGGTAATTACAGGAGCATTAAAATTACCAATCTATTATTCGGTGTATGACGAACGATTCTGTTTTTTTCTTTTTTTTTTTTTTACGCAAATGGTAGTTAATCGTCGAACCCTCCCTGCACACGTGCAGCTCTTAGTTGATATGCGCTCGTACGAGTCGTATGCATATGAGATGTTAAAGAGCAGTCTTTATTATTCGACGTTAGAATCACGCACTCGTGAACGGCACGAAATCTCCTCGTAGACCCCGCGCACGCGACACATATTCTTATTGTGATTTACAACTCGATTCCAAATGAATGCATGACGAATTTCTCAAAATATACAAATTTAGATTTATTAATTTTTTTTTATTTCGAAAGCAAGGCGTCCACAATTTTACGAAGAAGCAAATTCCTTTCGCGTTCGATTCTAATTCACCAAACGTTCTCCGGACGCTCTTACTGTTAGAGTTCGCGCCTGTGCGAATCCTATAATTGATTCTTGCATCATCGACGAATAAGGACTGCATCATCGTCCGAACAAAATTAACGAAGCGCGAACCGCGATGTCCGCTCGGGCGCGGAAACGACGCATCTCGAAAGAGTGGCCGCTCTGTAATATATTGTTAAATCGCCGCGATGTCAATTAGAATTGCAACGGCGGATCTACCTGACTCTGTTCCCATGCGGCTGCGTTCCACTCGTTGGTCTCGATCGCAACTGTGGGTCTTTGCGGTCTGGGCCGTCTTTGAGACGCAGGCATCATATTATTCTCACGCTCCCATTTCTATAATAAAAAATGTTCACTTGAAAGTAAATAATAGAAAATTGTTAGATAAATATACATACGCTCTAATATATAATAATATGATATTAAAATAGTAAAATAATTATTATTATTCAGCGAAAAAACAAGTCAGTCTACTTTATCGTTATTAAAAAAAATTTTTGAAAACTTTTCGTCTTTTCAGAAATTCTTTCTTCTAACAGGAATCTTCCAACGAATTTGTACGCGATTCTTGTGACATACAACATGCAACTATTGTATCGATTTTACATTCGCAGCGCATTGGTGCGCTGGTGTGTACAACGGTTTGCTCTAGTGTCTCTCGGTTCAAAATATGTGTATCATTCGTATACAGCTAAAGGGTGACGGCACGCAAACGCGAATTTTATGTATCGATCGCGAAGATCGCGATGTGAAAGCGAGATAAGAATCGCGTAGCGTCACGTCGGCGCTAAGCTCGCTTTGCGCGCAAATGCAAGGCTATAGAGTACTCATTAAATAATCCATCGTTACAGCGGAAAACGCGGTCGGTCGGTCGGTCGGTCGGTCGAAGACACCCCGCGTACATACAAGCGCGTACAAATTGCCGCAACCGATCGGTGCGTTATAGTTCTCGCTCAACTATGACACGACATTCGATTCGCACGCGAATGAATGCATCTGATATCGAGCTTAATGGTACATGCAACGCGATGTTATACCACCATCGATCTCGACGGAAGGGCCTTGACTTATTACATGCGCGCTATCGTGGCGAAGCTATTATATTATGAACCTTCTGTTGCTTCCGCGATGAAACGGGAAGGAGGGAATTTATTCGCGGCCTCTTCGAAATGCCAGAGTCGCGTGCCGCCCCAATTTTAGGCCTCATCTATTTTAAGGCTTTTATCACGGGCGCGCGCGAGTGATTTTCGAGGTAGAAGATAGATTGTGCTACACGTTAGAATGTTAGCTACGGTAATTGTATTAATTATTGTGTCACTGTATTACTTATTGTATTAATTATTTTTAGGGTATATATCGCGACAATGAGCTTCTCCTATTTACCTCCATGCACTTGGGCTCGTGTATGGGAAAGCTGGCGGTGCCGAATTCCCGACCGCACACGTAGCACGTGATGCTCCTGGGGCCCCGTCTGCCCGGCGCGGACAACAATCTGCCCTGCGTCTGATCCGCGTCCTGAGAGGGATAGTTCTGAGGATTCGACCTCGCCTCGGCCTCATCCAGCTTATTCTTGTTCCGGTCGCTGCGGAAGTTCATCGCCACCGGCTTCTGCGTGGACTTTGGTACCGCCGGCACCGCGGGCTTCGGTTTCGTCGTCGGCGTCGGGAGATCCTTGATTTTGGTCTGACTGCCCTTCGGATGACTGTGAAATCTTTCCGGTTGATCCGGACGTCCGCAGGACTTGCAGGGCTCCGGCGCGCTTTTCGCCGACGTGTTCCCGGCGGCAGTGAATATTTCCAAATCATTCGGTAGACCGGTCCGCGAGTTCTTCTTCTTCACCGTCGACAGCATTTTGGGCGGACTGTTTCTGAATCGCGCGAATATAGAATACGTAAGTATAAAGCGATTGTTCAAAAGCGGGCGAAATAAATAATCATAATTCTTATTAAATGATGTAATTTTTAATTTAAAAAAAATCTAATTACAATCTGAATGTCTTGCATTTTATTTTTTCAAAAATAAAGTGCAAGACATTCAAATTTTTAATAATTTTCTGATAATTAAATACAAACATTTGATATTTTTAATAATTTAAAGGAGGATATTAGCTCGAACGATTCACGATTGCGCTCTAATCGTGCACTCACTTATTATTGTTATCGTCGAGCCTCCTGTTGTCGAAGTTCCGTTGTTTGGCGGACGCATGCTCCAGCGTCGCGGCGGCTGCAGGCGACGTGGCCTTCCGACTTCCGGCGGACGATCGCGATCCGTCGATCTCCTCCATTTGGCCCGCTGCGACCCGCGGCTCGTGAATCTGCTCGAAGCTCCGTCGCTGACGACACACTGGAACGCCGTCGTGAGACGGCCAGGTGGTGGTCGTCGCGATGTTGACGGCGGCGCTCTTGCGTCGCCGTGTCGTCGACGGCGGCGACGGCAGCAGCAACGACAGCGATGACGATGACGACGACGATGTCGTGCCCCCACTGACCGGCTTGCCGTTCGTGGCCGACCGATGGAAACGCGTCATCGAGTCGCAGAGCAATTCCTTACTGAGCAACGACATGTCGAGCTTGTCCACGAGCGCGGGGTCCAGCACACTCGGCTTCGTGAGATTCGCCGTCTTCGGCCTCTCCGGCTCCTCCTCGCGGAACATCACGCGCTTCACCTTCGGCGGCCAGGTGCCGGTGTGCGCCGCATTTTTCGACGCTGCCTTCTTGCCGCTTGTTGTCTTAGTCGCGTCGGTCGTATCTATTTAGACGGAGATGATTTTTCATTGATTGCAGACGTCATCGCGATAGCATAAATTAGTTAACCCATTGAAAGCCATGTATTAAAAAAGTTATAAAAGATTTCAATACGCATTTTTTCTAAATATCCAAATTAATACTATATAATTAATACTATATAATTAATACTATATAATTAATACTATATAATTAATGCTATATAATTAATACTATATAATTAATACTATATAAAGATTTCAATACGCATTTTTTCTAAATATCCAAATTAATACTATATAATTAATACTATATAATTAATGCTATATAATTAATGCTATATAATTAATACTATATAATTAATGCTATGATTATCAGTTAATAATTAATATCTTTAAGTTGTTGAGAGTAATTATTGAAAAATATTAATAGAGATAAATATTAAAGATTTAAAAGAAAACTATTACCATTTCATTCGCGATAAAATTTTATTTAAAAAAAATGAGATTTACAATAGTTTTTAATAGGTGAACACATCGCAAATTTCAAAAAGAATCAGTCAGAAAAGGAGAAATCGCTTCTCTTTACATTAAACTTACTTTTAGATCGATACAATCAAAAAATTTCTATCTTCAGAAGGATTAAAAAAAAAATGTCGCTGGCCCGATAGACATTATACCTTTCGAAATATCCAAGTCATCCTTTATTATGAGGAATGTTTTCTGCGACAGAAACTCGCACGGTCCTCTCTTCCACTTCATGACGAATTTTTATCAATATCGTGATTTTCACAAATCGCGAAAGTCCTTCGCGAGCTGCTCGCGTCGCGGAGCGAGCATTATCGTATTTTCCGCCGACGATAGACCCTCTTCCGCGAACACATCCGTAAGTTCACCCCCTCGAGTCCCCCGACGCTTTCACATCGATATAAGAGAACGAAAACAATTAAAGAATTAAAGTTCTCTCGATCGATGCTTAAATTTCATCGTTCAGAAGTGAAACTTCGTTCTGTAGTTTGCCTTATCAGCGAAGAGGATCTCGGGGAAGCTTTCGTACCGGAAAGGGAACGTTTCTCGACGCCTACTAAATTTCGCTTCACGCTTCCCGTGCGAACGATCATCGCTTTTCCTCGAATGCGAAGTACGAGCGAGTTATCCGATTGACGTCACCATGAACGTGGTAGTGTTTTTCCCCCCCGTCCTCCGATGAACAGGTGGGTAAGTACGCGCCGATATGCCCGTGTATTTACAATCCGAACGAGAGTGGCACAGGAATCCCGATTAATTGTAATATTAAAGGGAATGACAACGCGCGCCGAGGTAACCGCGCGTTACACCATCCGCGATAAAAAATGCGGGAACGTCCGCTCCTTTTTTGTTTTAGAGAAACCGCGAATAAACTCGAACGCGTCAGATAACGGCCGTGGTCGGTACGCAGTTCCACGCGATCATTTATTTTTAATTATGCGTGAGCGCATGAAGCGCGGAAGCGAGTAAGCCCGTTCTCCCGACGACGCGCGGCACCTTGCCACCGAATTACGGCGGCGTACTGCACGAGCTCGACTTCACCTTGCCATTAGCCCCCGCACACAGCTTTTACCTTTCTCTATGTATGAGTGTGCGGTCGACTGTGTGACAGTACACAGGTGGCAGAGGAAAAATCGATCCAACGACCGCCGTTTAAAAGCGCTGACTATACCGCGCCCCGACGTGTGCCTGCGTGTTCTCGTCGTCGCGCGGAAATCGTTCGAATGCGAGCGAGCGATAGATAAGTATGCGCAATTACGAATTGCAGAAGCCGCACATTCCGCCGTACAGAGCCACTGCGTATCTATAACATCTCTTTTTATTCGTTTTTTTAAATATAAATATAATATCAAAAAATTTGTTCGCGATATATATATATATACACAAGTCATCTAATAAAATTATAGAGGATATATAACGATATATACATATGCTGCATTAACGGCGGTATCTATATCTCTTGAAGTGAAACCACAGCTGGAAGATGTTGTTGTGAAACTGACATCTGAAGCCACGCTTGTACGAGTACTCCCACTCCCGATTGACGATTTTGAATGCAATGTCCTCGTAAGGCGGGCCCGCGTGAAATCGCAGGATGGCGAAGTCTTTGTTGTCCGCGCAGGGTGTCTGAAAAAGTAAAATCACAGAATCGAGAATTACCAATCTGAGAAAGAAATTTAAATCGCCAACGCTAATCAAAACTAATCAAAACTACGATAATTCTGAACGAGAAAGATTATCAATCTGATTGTGAGAAAGAAATTTAAATCGTCAACGCTAATCTAAGACTACGATAATTCTGAACGAGAAAGATTATTATCAATCTGAGAAAGAAATTTAAATCGTCAACGCTAATCTAAGATTTTAAACGTAAAAGAATGTATATCTTACAAGAAAATATTCCGGCGTGGTGTTCTTGTCGATGAGATCCGGATAGAAGATGTTGAACTTGTAGCCCTGCACGATCTTCGGCGGCGGATTGTCCATGTCGTAGTGCGTCTGATTGTACTTGTTCCACTCGAAGCCGGTGTGCACGCGGTTGAAGTAGCGCGGCTTGCGCGGCCGGTACTTGTCGGACCACAGGTAGATCTGCGCCTCCAGCGACGACTCGACGCTGAATTGTGCCTCGTCCGAGCCCATGCCCTTGCGCGCCTCCCGGTGCATGGCCTGCTCCTCGGTCGTCAGCACGTTCTGTATCTTCCTGCCGGTGCTGAGGACCTGCTTCCTCGCGAACGCCAATCGCTGACTGTCCTCGTCCTCCTGCGTGACGAGCGTGCCCGGCTCGAGTTGCGAGTACGGTATGTAAGTCGGCGAGTAGCCGCCCGCTTCGTACTCGCGGAAGGACTCGGACAGCAGATCGTCGGCGGCGTTCGTCTCTTCTTGATCGTCACTGAAACACACGGCATCGATTATATAATTTACATATACATAAATCTCTTTGCTTGTCAAGACGAGATAGAAAAGATTTAAATTTCGAGAAACTCGAATCGGTGCAAGAGAGAGAAAACACTCACTCGGAATGACTATTTTCGTTCTTCTCGACAGCCGTGCTGGAGGAAGGCTCATCTTGCCTTACAGCGGACTCGCTTTCCTGCGCCTGCGAGTCCTCGGCCTCGTTCTCCGTTCTGGCTACACCCTGCTCGGCGATCAGAACCTCCAACTTCTTGCGCAAGTTCTCTTGATGCCGATCTCGAAGTCGCGCCCTCGCCATGTGAGCTATATATTTAATACTTGGTATAAATCGCACGCATTATTATTTGCAGTTTTTTAACGCATTCTTAAATTATTTGTCATATCTTACCTTTCAACTGAGACAAAAGGCTCTCCCAGTATCCGATATCGACGCCTTCTGGCTTCCCGGTAATTTTCGCCTGAATCTGCATTTGCAAAGCTTCCAACTGCGTCGCGGTTTTACCCTTAAAAATGGCAGTGACATCTTTGGCGACTGACTCGTGAATTCCTTCTCTTCTGCCAACAGCTAAAAAAAAAGAGAAAATATGTGAAAATAATGCAAGCAAGAATCGTAAAAACAGGCGAGAGAGAGAGAGAAAAGATCATTTCTCTTACCAACTTCATACTCCGTCCGATCCAACTTCCTGAGTTTGTGCAACTCGTCCTCCACGATCACCGTTATGTCATTCCAGTAATCTAAATTCTTGCCTCTCTCCAGTTCCTTGTAAACCTTTATGTCCTCTATGAGATCCTCGAGGTCCTTCACGTTCAGACCTCGCAGGTACGTGTACGGCTCGTGCATCTCCACCGCGTCGACCTCCTCCTCCGCGCTGATGTACTTGGCGAGAAGATCGATCGGCTTCGCGCGACCGTCCTGGATCCTGATGCGCGACCTCAACCTGGCCTGTTCGAGGTGAAACTGATCCTCCTGCCGGGCCCACTGCTCCAGCTGCGCGGCCTCCTTGCCCCTCTGCAACATGGTCATCTCCTCCTCCCTCTGCTGCCGCTCCAGCTCTCTCTCCTGCCGCCGCTTCTTCACCTTCTCCAGCTCCCGCTTGTTCTCCTCCTGCTTGTGCCTGTTGCGAATCTCCAGCTCCTCCCTGCCCACGCCGAGCAGGCCCTCCTTCCCCAGCTTCTTCGACCACACGAAGGTAGACAGGATATTGCCGTCGCCGAACGGATTGTCCGTATTCGTGTAGTGCAAGTAGTCGTTGTCCCAGCCCATCCTCTCCTTGCGCTTACGCTCCTTGGCCTCCTTCTTCTTCAGGCGACGCAGCCGCTTCTCCTCCGGCGTCTCCGTCGCCTTCATCACTTCCTTCTGCCGCTTGCGCTCGTCCATCTGCTTCTGCCGTTGCTTCTGCAGCTTCTCCAGCAGCTTGGTGGAGTCCGAGGACGAGTCCGTGGACGTGCCGTCGCTGGATCTGCTCGAGTCCGACGAGGTCGACGACGAGGACGACTCCCTGAATAAGAGACAATAATCTATTGCAGAGTGCTCGCACACAACCTTGAAAAGATAGCCTATATTTGAAGAAGAGACCCACCTCTTTCTCTTGCGCTTGGAGGACTTTCGCGATTCGCGACGCGAGCGAGAGTCGTCGTCCCTCGATCTCCTGCGCCTCTCGCTGGATCTCCTCCTCGTGCGTTCCTCCCCGTGTCGGTCGGACTTCGAGCCCCCGGATCGGTGCTGCTCCGCGCGATCGCGTTCCCGCCGCCGCGACGCTCGACTCTCGCCTCGGTGATCCTCGTCGCGCTCCCTCCTCGATCTGTGCCGATCGCGGTCATCACGCGAGTACTTGTCCATCGCGCCGAGAAGGGGAGGGAAATAACGGAGATAAATAAACAAGACGTTAACCCTGCGACGTCTAACCTCACTTTCCGCTCCGGAGAGAAAAAAAAACCGGAAGAACGTCTCCCGGGACTCACGCGCGCGCCATCCTTCCGCGATCGGCGCAGCTAGTAGGAGCAGCTGATCTCGGGCGATCACGTCGCGAGTCAAATGTCGATAAACGAGAGAAAAGGGGGATATGCGTCGAGCGACGCCGAACTGGGATCTGTCCTCATTTATCTGTCATGCGTTATTTTTCCCACATTTATCTCCGTCGAAGCGTCGAGGCGTTTCTCGCGAGGAGACGGAAAAGGGCGGTTAGGGACAGTAGGACGAGACCCTCTCTTGACTCGCGGCGTCCCGCGGCTCCACTCTCCGCTCGCCCCCCCACACGACACATCCGTTGGAACTTTCAAATTAGACAGCGTACGTACGCAACGCATGCACGCGAGCGAGCGAAGGTGGCTTCTCGGTGAGCTAACCGTGTCAACCGTGTGTCGTTTGGCGGATCTTCAACGTTTTCTCTGAATCGGTGCTATCGCGACTCGCTGACGTGTGAAAGGCGCGGAGTTGAGGTGACGCGATGCCGCACAACATATACTATTCCGACAAGTACTACGATGACAAATTCGAGTACAGGTAGGCACATCTCTCGCGTAGGGTCCCCCCTACGTCCGCGGGTCCCCGAAAGGCGAAAACGTGCGGTCCTTTCCCTCCCTCCCCCCTAGAATCGTGTGCGAAATGGCGTCCTCGCCATGGAAATTCTAGAAATTCGCCGCCGAATGTCTGCGCGACACCCCTGCGGCCAATTTTAACTTATTCAATCTGCCTTTCGTTCTCTCGCTCTCGCCCTAAGGCCTTCTCTCGTTTCTTCGTTTCCTCTGTTCGTCTCGCCGATTTCGGCCGTCGGCATCGGTGCGTCGTTTAAATGGTCGAGAAAGTTCGACGAGTTGGACTGGCCTCGTCCACGCTCGGTTTGCCATTGTTTTATATCGAATTGTGAATCTCATTTAACTTGGCTCGGATTCGCATGGATCTTTGTAACGTGCACATTTTTTTTTCTGGGGAGACACGAGACTCGCGACGATTTTGACGCAAAAACTTTTTTTTCGTCAGAACACATGTCGGAAAACGTGTGATATACCTACGTAAAAAAAAAAGGATAAACAATAACACCGCTGAGAAATCAAGATGGATTTTTAATACGCGTTCACAAATTTTTTTCCCGTCTAACAATAAGCTACACAAATTGAATATAAATTCGACGACGAAATATTGCAACTATGAAATCGTAAAATTTAAAAATTTTGATATATAAAATTAAATACGAAACCCATCAAGTTTTGTAATATTTTTTATTGGCTTCTTCAATCAAATATTATTAAAAAAATTATGTTAAAGCTTTTACATATATTTATGAATTTCTTAAAATCTTTTCACATTTTTTGCAACTAATTTACAATAAGATTTTTTTAAAATATCCAAGTAAAGCTTGTTGTACATACATATATCTTATTTTTATTTTTTCCTTGTATACCCGTTTTTCCCATTTTTTAAATTTTGTATTTTAATTTTATTCCTTTCCCCATAAATTTTTTACAGGCACGTGGTTTTGCCAAAAGAAATGGTGAAGCTGGTGCCAAGGACTCATCTGCTGTCCGAGCAGGAATGGAGAGCTATTGGAATCCAGCAAAGTCAAGGATGGGTGCACTACATGATTCATGATCCCGGTACGTGTAAACATATCCTAGTCACGGTTGCCACCCTCGGGCATGCGCCCGTGTGTATATGTGTACATGGTGGTGCATCGTTCATTCTGAAAAAAATCATCAAAATTTAGAACGGAATTTTTTTCCGTTTGCCAGACGACCGGAGTTCAAAAAGCTGGACTCTTGGGCCAAAAACCAGAGAGGCAGTGGCAATCGTGATTCTCTGCGTCCTTTGAAAATTTTTTAATTGAACAAATTATTTCAGAGCCACACATTCTACTGTTCAAGAGGAAAATAACGACACCGATGGAGCTGAGAGGGGAACAGAATTAAAATGCAGCAAAGTTATCTCGTCTTGTAAATAACAATTTAGATCATGTTCATATTTTATAGTGGAACATATTTACGATTCATAATTCATCTTACTACTTCCTGTCTTTCCTTCACTTGGTCTCGCTAGCAAGACCGACTATGCACCGTATAACATCAAATTCGCTTTCCAAAAGTTCAATTAAAAACACGTCGCGAATTAAAACAAAATTTCTCGTGAAATTCCACAGAATAGTATGTCCATGGTCGTTTATCTTCAAATTACTTCGCATTGCCATTCAAAAAATGTCAAGCAAGTATGCTGTATATATGTTTATAAAATGTATTAGTTATTAATTCCAATTTAGCTTTTGTATTTCTTTTCTTTTTTTTTTTTTTCATTGAAACTCGAGAACAAAGGATACATCAACTTGAAACAAAAAAAAAATGAAATATTCTAGTTGTTTCCAAAGACTGTAACTCCGAAGCGAAGTAATTCATAAGAACATATGTGATTACAGTGCCTTCTTGTAGGACTTATCATTAGTATAAAATTTCTAATTAAGGTGCCTAAAATGATTTTCTTTTCAAATTCGACACTTGATGCAAAAGTTTTATTTATACAAGGGAAGTGTAAATGCATTTCAAGTTCTTTTGTAATTCGTTCATTTAGATTTTAGCATGTTGACTTTGGCACACAGTCTTTGCATTTACTTTCGTCAAACTACTTCTACTTTTTGTATCGAATAAATCTATGTGCCGCGTATAATTATGTATCTTATAAAGCTATATAATTATTTATATTAATTTCATGCTCGAAATACATCGGACTTTCTCGCGTTCAAACTTCAGATTAGCTTAGCATCCGAGCGATTGTGGTTTGCCCTTTTTTTTTATAAGAAAAGAAAAAATGTATTACTAATATTGTGTTAAATAAATGTTTGCATTTATGAGCAATGTTAAGAGTTCCTTTATATTGCTGTAAAGAACCAACTTCAAATTTATTTCATGAACACGCACATCTAATCTAAATACATTAAATTGTAATATACAATAGGTATGCAATAATAAATACAATTTACATATATCTGTAACTCGTCGGAGAGTCTCAACGAGTAGTGACAATTACTTTCGGAGCGTTAGAAAAATTTAACGCCCTGATTATCGTCGAATGAAATAATCTCTGCCTTTCTCGCTGCCTCGAGTGTCCTCAGTGATCTGATCAGTACTTCTGTATCCAAACCGTGGAATTCTAAAGTAAACAATACGATTTAATTAGACAATCCAAAGTTATCAGCAATATAAGTATATAGATATAGTAATATCAGCATACGATTTCAAAGAATTTGTACGACGTACCTTGCTCACTCGTGTCCTCCCCTTGTGTCAGTTCGAAAAATGTGCACACCGAGCCAACGAAGCCGTTCTCCTGCGCCCAATTATATATTATATCGCCCCATTCCTCTAAAGTGTGCCAGTAGACCAGCCATCTCTGCTTGGTCTTATCCAGGGGGGTCGCATTTCCTGACTTTCCTAATTCCTCCAGTATCAGCAGCACCGCCTCGGACGGTAATTTTCCTGTTATCGTGCTGTCAAGGATCTTTCACTAGTAGACGAAGTGTGCTATCTTAATGTACTATTAGCTACTAGGCAACTATGTTGGCGAGTAATCGTAATGGGAAACTTTAATGAATTATAACAATAAATGAATTTTGCTGATGATTACTAATGCATGAGGCAGGATACGAGCGTTACACGAGTAATGATGTACGATAAAATTTGCGACGGAGCAATTGACATTCGTAGCGACGAATAGGAAGGATACTGTTAATGCTGGCGTTATTGAACAGAGGATTCGTGTGCGCCTCACGCACATCCACGATCGCCTGCTTCGTGACGCGATAGTACTCGAGCACCAGGCTCTTCCAGGCCGCTATCTGCTTGGCTCTGGTATCCGCGTGCGGCTGAAGCCTGGAATAGATGGGAATACGTAAATAAAAGCGAAATCGTGAAGAAAAATCTCGAGTATCTCTCACAAATCTCGTATTATCGCGTAGATCCGTAAACACGCTACTCGATCCGTAACCTACATTCCTAACCTGCGACATGCAGGCTCCCGTCAAAACGAGGCATTTCACAAGAAACAGCTATCGAATTTTGTTAATCTTTTAGACATATACGCGCCATTGTTAGTAACGTTGATAATCTCGTTGGGATATAAACGCTCCTCGCGACGACACTCACGTGAAGAACGGCGGGAAACTGTATTGCCAGGGCCACTCGATCTCTGCCATTGTTTTGGTCGTCGACTGACGGCATGAGTGTCGGAAGCCAGCTGTCGCCCTGTCACGCGTGACATCGGATCTCGGGAATGTGGGGAGGAAGTAATTTACATTTCGGAAATGCTTGCTATATATATTTTATTACAAAGATATATATTTTATCAAAAACAGTTGAGAGGGCTCCTCCTTGTTACAAAGTTCGTGAAAAGTAACATTATTATTTTTTATTATTCCAAATGTTCGGCTACATTTATAATCCATTGCTCGTCTAATAAAGGGCAGCCGACTGCGTAAAAAAAAAGAAGTAAAAATGGTCCCTAGAATTTTTAGATCATATATACACGGCATAAACAGATATTCCAGAGTTATGTTTCCAATCAGTTCTGTTGAAGCTTGTCATCACGATTATTTTGTAACATTTTCTTCTAACGTTAAAAAAATTGCTAAACGCGACTTAAAAAAAAAAATACATACTATTTGTATCGGTCGCTTAAATTATTCGCATATCAGTCATGAGCCAAATAAATCATGACTCGTCAGTCGTATTTTTTATTACATGTTTCGCGCGTGCTGCAACATTTTCTTCTAACACTAAAAAAAAAAACCGCTAAACGCATACTTACAAACAAAAAATAGATAGACTTTGTATCGATCGTTTAAATTACGCGTATCAATCATGAACCAAGACTCCGGCAAATAAGTAAATACTGGTTCTGATAGAACACCTGCTCGGGCCCGGGGATTCTGAGCGGTCGCAGACTAGCGAACGGATTCTTTCCGCTGTAGAGATAATTCACTTTCCTATCCAGAATGGTGTCTATCCTGTCCACCTCCTCCACCAATTCGTGTTGCGTGTAACACGTTGTTATGAACGGGCAGTTCTGTTGCGCCAGCATTCGCACGGACGGCGCCCACGTCTCCGCGGCGGACGTGAGTCCCTGCTCGTGAATACCCGCGTTGAAGCCCACGACCAAGTCCGGCTTCACGAACAGCGGGCAGCTCACGTAGTCCTCGTACAACACGTCGTAAAATTCCAACGAGACCTTCTTCTCGCGCAACGTGCAGCTGTCGCAGACGCGCAAAAAATCGGATCTATTGGATTTACATTTCAATTCCGGCCCGATCATTATAATCACCAGCGTCGTCGCGTCCCCGGTCAAATGCAGCAGGGCTTCCCACGAGAACATCGTGTTCTCCTCGATGTAACTCGCGGCTACAATATGAATAACTAGATCACTGCGTTTCGGCACGTAGTCCAATATTTGCATCGCGTAGAACAACGTCAAGGGACGTGTGAGGTACTGCGAGTGGCTGGCCGCCAGGACGTCGCGCATCTTCGAGTCGGTCGAAGTGTTCCCGTAGGTGTTTATAAAGTCTTTCATATCGCAAAACCTATCCGCCTCGGAGATGTGCCGCAGGTAGTGCAGATCCGGCGGACCTTCGCTCTCCTCGCTTATGAAGAACAAGTTCGAACGAAGGCACAATTCCAGGGGGACGCAGGTGTCCTTGTGTTGCCTGATGCCGGTCACGCTGTCCCGGTGATTTTTGCAGAAGCTCACGGACGCGCAACACCGACAGTCCTCCAACTGGCCGTTCCGCTCGTGGCAGACTCCGCACTCCCTCGGGAACTGGAACATCTCCGTCTCGTACGGCTCCAGGCGACGTCCGAGCTTGATCGACACCAGCAGCATGAAGTTCATCTTCATGTCGTCGCACTCCTCCGCGGCCAGGCTGCCAACGTCGTCCATGCTGTAGTCCCGCAGCACGTCCTGTATGGCGTTGCACAAAGACCTGTGCCGCGTCCAGTGGCGCTTCTGGTGCTGCCGACCGCAGTAGGCGATCATTCTGCAGCCGCTGCATCTCCTCAGACGGACGCCGTCGCCGAACCGCTTGCAAACGTGACACATGGTCGCGTAGAAGAACATATCGGCGTTGTAAATAATACTGTTGTCCGTTTCCGATTCCATGGTCACCATTCAGCACTCTGTCTCGTTATTATTAATATCACAAAACTCGCCTTCGATGTAAAATACTGTAAAAAAGATACAGCCGACGGAGACACGTGTCCCCTACGCCGCTACGTTCCGCACGGCATTGGAACTTATTGGAACAGGTTAGAACGTGTTTCTCGCAGGCCCAGACTCGCGTCCACCACATGGTCGATGCGCACGCGTAAATGGCGATTTATTTCCCGCGCTTTTATCCCTGGGCTAGTAACGTGGTCTGGTTCTTTTCAGCTGAATTGGCTGCACTAATTCAGAGTTTATCTTTTTTCTTCCGATGTAGAAAGAAAAGGATGACCTAGTGCAGCCAGTTCAGTTAAAAAGAACAGGCCTATTGTGTTCAGAAATATCCCCAGAAGCACCTAGTAACCTCTCCCCCGTACACTAGCGCTTCACGTCCACGTTTTCAAAAAAGGAACTACGTACCACGTCTATCTTCATAACATTGTCGATCAAATCATAGCACGAGAACATAGACGTGGTTCGTGTCCGTGCTACGTGCACAAATTGTGAATAAATAGATCATATTTATTTTGCGACATTGCTGATGAAATGGTATTCCAATTTTTTCAATTCATGTTCTGTACTACTTTCTACAGATTTTTCATTTATTTTAACTCTCAGGATTCATCTATATATTATTTATTTTCATAAAAAAGATACATTCTGTATAATACAGAACTTACAAAATTTCCAGGATCACAGGAGATTGGAGTGTTACAAGATATGTACACACTTACATACACACAGCTCCGTAATATAAAAACCTCGTATTATACCCTAGTAATATTTCTCGCAATGATATACATACATACATGTACATACATATGTGTATATACGCTATATACACATGTGCGTATGTATATATATGTATACATATATATAAATTTATGTACAGTTTAATTGATGTAACTAATATATATATATATATATGATATATTTATTTCAAAATACTCCCTCTGTCTGTAGGAAGAATTCTGAACTGTATTTCAAATGGCAAAAAAATATGCCACAAGACCAGTCGACCTTATACTTGAAAATGAAGACAGTTGCATAATCGCCTAAATCTTATGCAAGACTAGTTTTTTCAATTGTTTATCGATGCACAGTAAATTACCGCAAAAATTTGGCGTTTTACAATGTGACTCTTCATCATAAATCAATTTAGCTTTATGCACGGAATCGATCTATGATAAACTAGCAGGCGATAAAGGCAATCATCTCTCCAGGATGATAAAGGACTTAACTGTCTCTTTACAAATTTATAATCAGTCGCTTCCGTTTTCGAATTATATTCCGTTCGTTCCTTGTTAGGCTTTGAAGAATCGTACAACACGGACGACGTATTGCTTGCATATCGGACACTCAGACATTTGTTTGCCACAGTTTATGCAACACGCCATATGGCCGCATTCCAAAATTACACACTCGATCGGCGCATCCCAGCAGATTTTGCACAATTCCTCCTCGCTGAGTTTTTCCACATCTGTAACAATTTATTTATAATTAACAAAAAAAAAATAAATTCTATCTTCTACATAAAACATCTTTTTATATCTCTGGTAAAAGTTCGCGATCGAGGCACAATTGACATTATAATCAATAATGAATGTGATTATTATCGAGTTACGTTATAATGTAGCATTATAATATATGTTACCTTTTCGAGACTGATTATACTCCTGCCATAATCTCGTCACTTTGTTCAGCAAGTCCCGTCTCTCTATACAGCCTTTATAATCTACACGATTTGTACTCAACAGATTTTTTAATTGTTTGATGCTTAGATACTCTAGTTCCGGCGCATTCTTTATATCCGACAATTGCACTTTATCAGACCACTGCGAGAAGAGGAAATGAAAGTGAATGCCCCAAATGTGTTTTATAAATGTTCCATACAAGCGTATACCGTGTATATATATATATACATATATACCGTGGGAATCTCTGTGACCATATCCGATTTTTTCTCGTTTGACGTCTCAGGAACTTCCTCCTGCTCGGTGACCACCGGCTCCGATGCCGTACTAGGCCCGGTTGGATTGCTGTCATTCTCAAACACCTCTTCTATCTCGACGATTTCATTACTCTTCGATGGTCGCTCCTCGGGTGACTCGCTGTCGCTGCTAAGCGGAACGCTGATGACCGGACTACTGTGACTACTTTCACTCGCTTCCTCCGCCATCTCGACGTCCTGGTTTGTCGCGGGCTCCGCTGGTGCCTGCGCGTCCGCGCCGGGCTCCGCCGGTGCCGGCACGTCCGCGCCGGGCTCCGCCGGTGCCGGCGCATTCGCGACAGGTTCATTATTCGCGGTGCTAACATTTGGTATGTTTTCCGGTCTATTTAGAGCAGGATCGATTCTGGAACTAAACAGTATTTATTTTAAAATATTACACGAGAAGAAATATGTGGTTTGTATAATGCCCGTTTCCATTAATAAAGATTAACTTTAATCTCGGTTTAACGTTCTCTTCATCTTTTTCCAATTCGTAGAACTAGAAAAAGAAGAGTAGTTGAACTGAGATTAAAGTTAATCTACATTGATGGAAATAGGCAAAATGTGTATAAATTTAATATTAAAATAAAATTATTAATATTAAATGTGTATAAATTTTATATTAAAATAAAATGCAACAAGAGTTGCACTTGTTACTAAAAAAAATCTAGTACTCCAAGAGTTAAAGCGTCAGTCACACACTGTAATGTTAAACGTACTGTGGTTCTTCGGCAGCATTCTGCGCCCTGGCGCTCGTACTATGATCGTAACTCTGGTATGGGTCAGTTCCGTTAGCAAAGAGCATTAGCAAATGCACCAGATCTTCTTTTTCTGAAATCCAAGCACACCTCTATAGGACAATTCAAGTTCTTATGAAAAATCAGTATTGATTAAGAAGCTGCTATTACAGAGAGACATGTCGGCAGGCAGTATTAATGCACGTACCGACGCAACCCTTGACGGAGACCTTCTTCGCCACGAGATACTGACGCAGGTCCCTGGAACGCATCTGCCTGATTTGATTCCTGATGAGTGGCCTCCTCGACAGTAGACCGCAGCTGTCGCAAGTGAACACCTTGTCCAGCCGTTTGATCACACATTCGGAACAGAAATACCTCAGGCAGTCCGCGCATTGTTTCTGTTAAAAGTTAAACGTTAAAAAGTTAAAAAAGTTAAACAAGGAATGTAAAAATGTTGAATATTGAACCAGGAATTCAAACAATATTATTGGCCAGGTTCAACTAGACACACCTAAAATTCCTGAAATCGGATTGCACAGTAAATCCTTTTAACTAAAAAAAAAAAAAGTCTAGATTGCCCAACGGGGGAAGGTACAAATGTGTTAATCGCTAAATAATTTAGTGCGCAGTGAAACGTAGTGACACACGATTCGCATGACAATTCGAAGAGGGCATGAATGCGTCGTCCGGACGAGCATACACAGCTCCACGTCGAGTTGTCGCACTCTCTTTGCAGCCGCTCGTTCAGCGAGGGAGGGAAAAAAGGGCCGAGATGTCCACGCGATCGCCGCACTCACTTTTCTTTTGAACAGGTTGAACTTTGCGTTACACGCCTCGCAAGCCATCTCGCTGGGTCGTCCGCAGCAGCAGCCGCCCGTTCGTCGGCGTGAAAACGATGTCGTTTCGCGCGCCGTGTATTTACGTGCGTTGAGATCGACTCGTGTGTACGGGAACGTTGAATAACGGGCACACTGGTCGTATCCTGCATGAAAATCTAGAGTGGCGTGAAGGCTGTCACGTCGTGACGGCGATGCAATGACGGAGCCGGACGAGCGTAATCCGTCCGGAATCTCCGGATCGATAGCACGATGTTGTTATCGGTCGTTATCGGTTCAGTGCCAATTTACTTACGCGGTGATAACGATGAGTCCAAGGAGGTTAAAAAAAACAAAGGTGGCCGATCGGTACGCTAGAAACGCATGCCTTTCTTATCTACGTGCGAAAAGAACTTTTTACCATATACAGAATTCGTATAGATCGACATATATATTTTCAAATGGTAATGTCATCGTTCTTCAATTATCTCCCGGTCACACTTTGACAGCCGCGAAAATTTGCCATTTGCCTTTGACTGGCAGTCACAGATTTATACCATTTATATATTAATATAAATTATTATATATTTATCTAGATTAATTTATTGATATTGATTACTTATTTTTATTGATTTATTTATTTATATTAATAATTTTATCTCGTCGATGCAGATTATATAGTAACATTTTTTTTTTAAATGACAGGTTTTCTGTCTTTCTGACAGATCTCTCTCTTTCTGATTTTTCTTTCTATATATATATTACTTTTATATAAAAGAATTATGGGAAATGTAGAGAAAATATATATTAATTATATATGTTAAAATATACATATACATATATGGAAAACTGAAATTTCTAGAAAATATATTTTGTTGAGATCGGAAGAGCAC